CATCTCATCCAAGCGCTCTTAGGTTAGCTAGCTATAATTTATGAGTACTGTTTCAGATTTTACGTACATTGACTAAAACTCAAATCTTCTTACTACATTTTTTATGCTTTTTGCTTTGAATTCATAAATTTTTGTTTAAGAGTACTGAGTTTGGACACAAAATTTTACGCGTAATCAAGCGCCATATTTGAATTTTTATTTTTTTTCCAGTTTGACTTAGGCCAATCCTTCCAAATGCCATATAAATTAAATTAAAGATACACATTATTAACCCAAGAGCGCTTGGATAAGATGACTTGGGTCTCTTCCAGCTTAACCAGTGGTCTCGGGTTCGAGCCCTGGGAATGCAACAGTGTTAAAACTCTTAAGAGAGAGCTTTGCCGTCCTTGTGGTCCTACCCGGCTCGATTCTGGATTAGTCGGTTCCCCTGTGGATCCGGAAATCGGAAGGTCCCTGTACCAAAAAAAAAAAGATACACATTATTAGGTACGTCATTGAGTACGAAAAATGTTGCACTAATTACAAAACGTAGTTCAAAATTAATAAAAACAAAATCTAAAAAAATGAGACCCTCAAAACAAGTAGGCATCATTTGTATTTTGATTTCAAACCGGTTTTTTTAAGGCCTAACATGTGGATGTTCTCTATCTAAAATCGTCTCAAGCAAATCGAATTCTAACATTAACAAGTCGAACTCACAAAAGTTACATTAACGAACCGAACGTTTGCGAACAAAGGCTCGTTCGAGCCCGTTCTGTTAAAAAAGAGCGCGTTTGTTTATTAATTGAACCGAGTTCGAACAAAAAATTAGGCTCGTTTAATAATCAAACGATTGCAATCTCGTTCGCGAACATAAATTTAATATAAATATATTTTATTTTTGTATATTTACATGATATTTTTGATAAAAAAAAAATTAAAATATAAAACTATTTTTATTTAAGTTTTTTTATTTTAAAATTCGAACGAACAAATTTCGAGTTAATCAAATATATTTAAAAAGTTTATGTCCTAAATTATCCGAACACGAACAAACACAAGCACTGTTTAAATGTAAACAAACATGAATTCGAAACGTCCAAGGCCAGCTTGTTCGATTCGATTACAGCACTACTACGAGTTATGGGTCGTATTTTATCAAAATTTATCAATAATTACGGTATATATTTATCAAAAATTATCAATGATTAAAATATGTGTTCCTCGATGACAAATCTCGTTATTTTTTAATTTATTTTATACAACAGTGTATATTAATAAGGGATCCTTTGATTCCTTGACAAATTAAAGTCAAATCAAAAGTGGGCAGTCGAATTTCTTTTAAACAACACGTATTTTGTGATGTAATTGAATTTAAATTTTTTCATTGGAGAATAATCACTATACGTAAAAGGATCAAATTATTTAATTTTCAACAGCTTGTTTTACTAATTATTAATTCATCACATAATCATACTCCCTTTTCTTTCACAAATATGTAGCAAACCTAACACTAATAGCACCACCATATTTATGTTGCTAACAACATGAGCTTAATTAATTTGATTTATGAGTAAAAATTCACCACTTTTGCTAAATTAGACATTTATATAATTTAATACACATAAATTAAACATAAATTTTATGATATTAATTACTTATATTGTTTATTATAATATTTAAGGTTTTTTTAGCCATTGATGATTATATTTCGTGCGAAGAGTACCTCAACAGACATTAATTGCTGAAGCGTCTCTCTTTAACATTTCAAGAGAAACATATTAAAAAATAAAAAGAAATAATAGAAAAATAATTATTTAATTTCTTGATTATAAAAAATGGTTGAATAATTATTTGTAAATAGGCACAATTTAAAATTAATATTGATGATGTTATTTTAAAATATCAGGGCAATTACACTGGACTTTAGACTGGGTACTCACAAATAGAAATAATTATGATTATTATGTCACAACCATATTAATAGGGGAAACATACTGTACGCGCAAACGTAATTTACATGAAATGTTGAGATATTTTTCCATCACAAATTTTTGTGATAGTTAAATGGGTTGACATTAATACTTTGCTATAATATTCCTGCTTAAACTATTAGAGAATCATAATTTTATTTATAGTATTTATAAAATATACAATTAATATTTATGGATATAAATTAAAAAATATATAATTTACTAATTATCAGGTGTATAATAACAATTATTGCAATTGGTTACCAATTGCAATAATTGCTTAAACTACAATTATTGAGTAATTTCTCAGTAAATTTTATATAAAATTGCAACAAAATATATTACAATTGGTTACAAATACAATATGCAATGAAAGGCATTATGCCCCTAATCTACATCTAAAAATTCATGTCAAATCTCATCCATATGGATTTACTTACACTAGCTCATTGCTGAATTTTTTTTCTTGATAAGAATGGGATTATTAAACTCAGAAAGAACCCGACAAGCTGCAAAAAAACGAAGAACCGAAAGCCTTGGATTAGATATGTAAGTAATGAGCCGAGACAGAGTAAAATCTAAGAAGCGCTTTCTTTCTTTCTTTCTTTCTCTTTCCCGTTTTTATTATGTTTAGAGGGGTTATAAAAGAAGATTACTTCTTACCCAAGCAAGCCCGACACATAGGATGCTGAAACCTTGGAAATGAAATGGCGCGTCCTCAGACAGAACTAAAGCTGAAAGAAGCACAAATTTTCAGTCTCACAGACACACACACACACACACATAGAAAGATAGATAGATAGATAGAGAGAGAGAGAGAGAGAGAGAGAGAGAGAGAGAGAGAGAGACCTGAAAGAGGACTATAAATTAATGGAGAGATCACATTTGCAAATGCTGTTATACTCAAAATGCATCCTTGTGCAAGTCCCTGAGAGATCACAAAAAATAAAAATAAATGATTTTTATCCATTCGAAATAAGATTAAAATGAGATTTCATTTCATATGTTTGTATAAACCCAACTATCTAGCTTATATATATTTGTCAGTAGAGAAAATGTTTACCTGTTCACTAGGCCCAACTTGTTTCGATACAATGCTTCTTAGCTGTGCATTTCTCACAAAAACCACACGAGTATCGGTTAAACTATAATGAAATTTAACACAAATAATTATTGCTTTTCTTTTTTACTCACATTTGGGCTCGAAAGGAAGAGGAAAACACCCAGTGAAGCAGAAGCATATGGCACCTGATTACAACACAATGTTGATGTAGAGTTTTGGTTCAAAAGGCCTAATTTTTAACACTAAAATTGATTCATTTCAACAGCTAAACGAGGCCCTTCACATTAAGTGAACAAAACACGATATAATATAAATAAGAAGACAAAAATCGTGGAGTATATTATATCATACCCAGGCAGCCCAAGCAATGCTGTCGAAGAACATCTGCAAAAAACAAGATTTACATTTTCACGACATTTTATATACGTACATACGTATTATATTATATAAAAAATTATTGTGAAGCAAATACATTTAAAAATCCAGCAAAGAGTCCCAACGACAACAATTTCTCCTCTCCAATTATGGGACCCAGCGTGGGCATGAAGACCATCTACAAAAGTTGTTATGTTTAACCGAACTCAATTTTTGTCAAAAAACCATGATAAAAGGTCACTAGAGAGACGAAATGAGAGAAATTGGTAGTAGATACGTTTGATATAGTTGCTCCAATATACGCAATGAGAAGCACATCTGCGAATTGATCTTTCATGAAGTGAAATCGAGCCTTCAGAAAATACTGCAGAAAGATAAAAATGAGTTCACCAATATGATGAGCATATCGCTTGTCAAAACCATAAAAGGTCACAAGAAAGGAAGGACATACCATTAAACAAGCATCAAGGCCAGCTTCTGCAAGGCTATTGAAGAAAGTGACACATGCTGCTAATGAAAATGTCACGCTGGAAAAAATAATATTAATAATAATAATAATAATAATAATAATAATAATAATAATAATAATAATAATAATAATAATAATAAGGAAAGACAATTAGAAACAGGAATCGATGTCTTTGAATCGAAGAACGAAACAAAAAATATCATTAAAATTTTAAGGACTTCAAAATACATAGATTTAACATGTAAATAGGTTACAAAGTATGTAAAAATACTATGATTGAGCCATAATACTAAAGATAATTATCTGTCTTTACCTACTCTTTAGCAACCGATATATATCCATGGGAGATGGAATTTTCCCGATGAGTTCTTTCTTTTTCGGTGCTATACAACTGTCCTCCTCAATTTCAGCGAAGCTCAAGATGGGCTGCTCAAGAGCTTCGGTTTTCAGAGGTTTTTCCTTTAGAAAAACTCCCATATATACAGTGGCAAGAATAGATACAGCTGCTGCCACCTAAGTCAATTGAATCACTAACTTGTAAAGCACAGAACTAGTTGGATTTCGAAAATTCCATAGTAGAAAATCAGAAAAGTGACCCATAAGAAGAAAGGGAAAGCACCTGAAATATCTGAGTAGTGGAGAGTAGGCGAGCAGCGAATGTACCGCCAAGAAATGCAGCAGAAGTTACACCTTGAAGGATCCCAAATGCAGGGGCACGATTGCTCTCCGAGACATTATCTGCCTATAAACACACTCATTCAGCTAAGGTCTGATAATGAATCGAATGTACCTCAAGTGTGAGTATCATATTTGATACATCTTATACAATGGATTTGGTCTAATGTCTAAGTTAGGGAAGGACCGAGTTGGCTTAATCACGTGTAAATTGTAATACAAATTCATGACTCATATACCCTTGAAGAGCTCAATAACACTATCTTCAAGCACTTAGGGTGTGATTGGATATGAATTGGATTGGTTTTTTATTGGTTTTTTTTATTTTAATCATAGTTAATTTTGAAAAGGGTGGTACACGGTTATTGTTAGTGAGAATTTAAGTTTAAATTAAAATAATATTTAAAATAAAATAATTAAAGTTGATTTGATGTAAAAACAGGAGAGAAATGATATGAAGTGATGGATAGTTAAAATTATGTGAGTGGATGAATAGTAAATTAAAGTTGATGTGATGTGTAAGAATGATTAGTTGATATTGTTTAATTATATTGATAATATTGAGGATGGTGGTGGCGTTGAGTTAAATTTGAGTTTTGATTGGTTTTTTACTGATCAAGCTTATACTTAATGCTTCGGACAAAAGTTCCAGCAGTACCAACTAAAAAAATACAGATCACGAGGTAAATATGCATTTTATTTTTACTAGAGTAATGTCCATTATACTTGGGTGATAAATAAGCATCATAAGCAAATTCAACAAGCTATATGTTCAAAGCATTCGTCTAGCTTGCTGTTTCAACAAAGAGACAAGGCTTAACAAACCAAAATGGCAAGAACAATGAAACTACACATGACAAGATTGCAATTTCAAAGTATAGAATGAATAAGGCAATCAAGAAGATTGAATAATTACCAAATACGCAAGAGCAAGGCATGAAATCCCTCCTTGAGTAACCATGGACGTTACGGTCTTGATGGCATAGTACACGTAAAAGAAGTTTGTTGTCCTCTTCCACGCTAGCACAACTGCATGCTCGTGAGAAAAATAGAATGAACACAAAATCCGCAGTATTTAAAAAAAAAAAATCCCGATTCTTAAAAATGTCGAACAAGAAGCAAGTAATACATGTTACCCGATGGAATTATGGAAAGAGTCAAAGGAATTGCCAAAATTATTTTTCTGCCATAAGCATCCGAGAGGTTCCCAATAACCGGCATCATGATCACAGAACCTATGCCTGCAATCTTCATTTATTGGCAAAGACAGGAGCATTAATATCTTTCTACGAAATAAATGATAACACGATTTCAATAGATCAAAGAAATTATAATTATTTATGCATAACAAACCGGGACATAGAGAAGGGGCTCAATAACAACCCCATAGACTAACTTGTATCCGTATTTACAAATGACTTGAATGATAAAGGCTTGTGGTGAACTCTTTCGTATATTTTGAGATACGATTATGCAATGAGCAATCTGAAGATAAAAGCTTAAACGTAAACGATTAAGCACATTTTATGTTAAAACGCATTATGGCCGCATGATCCAAAACAGAAATTGGGGCTTCCGAGCTTAGAAACCTGACTAGTCGGTACTCATTCTCGTATACTATAGAACTGAAGTGACCACTAATTCATAAACTCAAGTCTAAAGCAAATCAACCATTCAAACTGAACAAAGTCAGAAAATTTCAAACATAGTTAAATGAACTAAAAATTCAAGCTTGTGAGACCCATTACGAGCATCAAACAGAAAACCCTTTTAGCAACAAACAACGAAATTAAATGACTATAAAAGCACTTAAATAGACAATACCGCCTGTTGGAAGCCGGTGAGGTAGATGGCGGCGGAGCACTCGTCTTTTCCGGGACAAACCGCCGCCATTGTGACGTCGGGGATCGCCGGATGCAGCAGCTGCTCGGAGATGTTCGACAGAAACACCGTCACAAACAGGTGGCTCAGCCGCCACCAGCTTTCCATCTTCTATTAATCTGGGCAGGTAGAAATCACTCTATTGAGTATATATACACAAAAAATACAACAATGTTGATGAAAATCTTGCAACCACCGAGCGTCAAAAGAATGTCCAAATCTTTGGGGAAAAAAAAAATAAATAAATAAAGTGTCTTTATCATAAAATTGAAGGATCGTGTTATGTTCGCAAACCCCAGCACGTGCTCTCACCTACCCAGCTCGGCAGCCATAGCAGCTCTCCGCTGCTATCTGAACCGTCAGTTTTCACCTCAATTTCATTTCTAATATCTGGCATTCTTTTTATTAAGTAAAAATACACTGTAATTTCTTGTCCCAAATAACAAAATTAGTCATCTGGCCCATCCATGGGGCTCAATTAATTGGATCAATTTACCGGCGTCATGCGGAAATGAGTTGGACTCGAGTTTGTTGTTATTACAGCAAAGATATACACAGATATGATTCTTGTTGGGTTTATATCATGTTAGTGTTATGTAGCCCAATGTGGTGTAAGTAAACTGGACCAGTATAATGGCAAGTCAGCTAATTATTAAATCTTAATGGCCCAATTAATCATCTGTAGCATGATTGTCATTTGTCAGCATATCATCTTCAAAACAAGACCTTTTTTTTATTTTTTTTTTCCCGAAACTATAGGGATTTTATAAAGTACACAAAAGTACGTAACAGGAAGCAACCCAAAGCTAAATGATACGACTTGAAGCTTAAAACTGGGAGGCAAATTCAAAGATCGCCTAGAGGTAACGTTAGAACTAAAACACTAAAACTAAACAAAAAACACTACATAACTTCGACAAATGGAGACTATCTGATCTGTTGGTATGACTCATATATTGACAAATGTAGGAGGCAGGCTGATGCCTGCGAGTGTAGCGTAGCGAGGGAAGCGGAGCGACCGAACGAAGCGAGCGGAGCGGAACGAGCAGGCATCAGCCTATGTTGGGCTGGGTCGATTAGTTGGGCCGGGGGTGCAGGGGTGGAGCCCCCGCGGTACGGTACGGGGTATTTAAGTAAATTTATACCTTGTAGGGTTTTAGTATAAATACATGGTGTATTGATGTATTTGATACGATTGAAAATAAAAGAAATCGCTCCTCCGCCGTGGACGTAGGCATATTGCCGAACCACGTAAATCTTGTGTTGTTTACTTTCTCATTTTTAATTCGTATGCCATATTGTCATTTTCTCACAACATGATCCCAACAGGATAATACCCGTTCCACTCGGGATCACATAAGGCAACAACCTAAGCCAAAAAAACAAAGCCTTAAAAAAAAAAAAACAAACAACAACAAACTAAGCAAAATGAACCAAACGAAACAAAAGAAAGAACAAACAAAAACAAAGTGCCCTTCTCGCGTCTGATACCACACCAAGAACAACAATGGTAGAGTCACAACCCAGGCGCCCGATTAAAAAACTGCAAGAGAATACCTAACAGCGTCGAGAATCTTCGGGCCCACCCTCGTCCACCCAGGCAACCCCAACCGACACCCGGAGACCAACACCCCCGACCATCCAGCCAACAACATTGACCCAGACATCGGGCACTACAGCCCAGCCCTACGCCCACCGTTGATGGCCGACTCCAACATTCAGCACCATAATCGAGTACAAAATATAGCTCGGGCACCGTCTCTGCCCCAAACCCTAGGTTAGAAATTTTGGGTCGCAACCCCATCCAAAAGAACGCCAGACTACCGCCACGGCGGAGATGCCGAAGGAGAACATGTTGCCCGCACCTCAGTCCCAGCACCAAGAACGACATAAACAGGGACTTGGATACAACCATCTCCCCAGCGAAGAAGCCCCTCTCCTCGCAGTGAACTCTTCAAAACAAGACTTGCTGAAATAAATTGATATTGTTTTGGCAAATTATGTTTTTGTGTTGAAATAAAGTATATAGGATAAAAGTGTTGGAAAATCAGTAATATAAAATTGGGTATGACTCGATTCTAACTGATTTTTTTATGGCTAAATATTTGGTTCGGGTTGAATTAAATTGTGTAGAAAAACTACGTTCCGAGTAGATACTCGTGGTATACTTAATTTCTCAAAACTGATTTTCGGTGAGTGATAAATAAATGTTAGCCATGAATGGGCACGCAGAACGTTAGTTGTGGAATTCGAAGGGTCAAAAGTCCTTTTCCACATAGAATTCTCAAATGAAATTAACTCTCTTTATGATAATAAAGAGAATTCGAGAGATCACAACAACAACAAAGATATGCACCAAGTGTTGGCGTACAAACCGAGTTGTTTTTGGGCACGGGTTTTGACCCAACCTGTGTGTCATCGTTCTAGGTATATTGAATTTGTACATGTGACCTTTCATTTGTCTACCACCTGACGGTTTCAGGAGTTATAAGGTGCATTAATGGTGAGTTAAACACCATAATATTGTCCATTTATAAAGTTGATTAATGCTGAGTTAAACCAATTTATTGCCCATTTATAAGGGTCATTAAAGGTGAATTAATCACCTTAATGTAGTCATTATAAGGTGGATTGAATGCCATTAATGGCTGAGATGACCACCAAATTTCTCCCACTTATGATGGAAGTCCTATAAATAGGACATAGAGTTGTAGAGGGAAGTAGACTTGATCGAGACACGGAAAATCTCATTTGCATTCTCAACTCTTTCATCTCTCATAGTCTCACGCTCAGTTATCGTCTCCATTCATGTTTGCGGAACTCTGAAGACTGGTGTGCTGCAGTTTTCGAGTGTATAGCCGTTGTATCTTTGGGGCATTACGCACAGACCCGTCAGCACTGTACGGGGCGTATTTGTTTTGCGAAAAGATTTCAATCACCTCGACTTTAATATGTCAACATTCGAGTTGTATTTTATATATCTTGTTTAGTTCATATTGTACGAACTGAACTCTTCAGACAGTTCATAAGTTCTCTTTGTAGTCAAAACACCTATTGTGTAACAAAAAAAGTGCACCAATTAAATATTGTTGATGAAGTATTGATTTTCAGTATGAATAGAATAAATAACGAATAATGGAAAAAAACGTTATTTCAGTCGCATTCCAATGTTTATAATTAAAATAAATAACAATCGAGTGTTATGATTCGAATTAGAAATTGAGATTTAGTGGTTGATTGCAAGCTCAATCGTCGATCGTAAAAATATATTATCATTAACTTACAATTAAAAATATTAATTTACAACTAAAATATTTTATTATTAATATAAATATTTTTGGCGCATAAAAAAAAAAATGTGACTTTAAAATTAAATGCGAAAAACAAATAAATAAAGGGAAATGCTACAGTCTCGTGATGAAATCATTTTGTCGAGATTTATAATCGTTAGATCAACTATCCCTCAACGATTATATGATGATATAACAGTTACAAACTTTAACAGAATAATTCCGTAACGAGACTGTGACATCTGTCATAATTAAGATGAAATTGTAGATAGGGAGAAACTGAGTCAAACAGAAGGTCCGAAACCATAGCGTGGTTAAGATTTGACAATTTCCGTTTCTTTTTTGACAGAAGCACAAGTGCACAACAAACATTTCAAACAATGCAAAGATTCCAGCCAGCCCAACCCCACTTTTCGAATTCCAAAATATCTGCATTAATAATAGTGATTAGTCTAATTTGACCGAACACCACAATAGGTTAATCAATCCATATACATACATGTGATTTGATGTTAAATTCATGAGGATTTTGTATCTGTTCCAGTGGGCTACTGATAATTATCTCCTAAAATAGTTTCATAAACTCGGCTATGTTTATCTCCTTTAATATAAATAAATAAATTCCCGTAAAAAAAATATTATCATCAATATTTTCATCTCACACCAAATTGAGTCAACTTTGTTTTGCTTAACTAGTACGTACCCCGTGCAATGCACGGGATAAAGATATTAAATGAGTTATTTTCACAGTTTTGTCTGTTTAAGTCTAAAAAGTAATAATGTTATTATCTATTTTCTACCTCTTTTAATCAACGTTAAGTCTAAAAAATTATTAAGCCGCCCTCTGGTAAATATGTATGGAGTTATGTGTCTGTGTCTCATAAGTCACAAACATTATGAATAACAATACAAATTATTCATTCAAACTTTTATTCATTGCAAATACATTAAAATAGTTTATATAAAAGCCATTAAATACCACTTTCAATATATTTATAAATAAAAAGTACATAAAATTTCTGGTGTGTTCAAATTTAAAGAATTTTTTATGGGCTCAATTTTAAATCATCCAGACATTTGGTCAAACGCATAGGTGTGTTCAAATTTAAATCATTGGCATTATGGTCGGTTGAAATTTAAATCATCTACCATGGTACTGTGATGTGTATTATATATATATATACAATTTTTTTAACAAATAATATATGTGCTTTATAAAAATAATAATAATAATTTCACAAGATTTTAAATGTAAATTTGGTTTTTAATCACATTAGAAAAAACATGGTAAGTTGTATTGAAAGGTGTTATGAGATAAAACAATTAACTAAAACAATTAAATAAAATATTTGATGGAAATAAAATGCATTAATTACCTTTGATTTTTCTTACTACTAATTCTAGTAAATAGAATGTCTTTTTATATAAATATAGATTTTGCCAATTTATTCACGCGTCAAATTTATTCCTTTTTTTTGGGAATTAAAGCCCATACAATATGTAATTAATTTACGGAACAATATGTAAATAAATCCATATAGATGCATTTACCTTTTTTTTTACGGAATCAATTGATTTAATTAATTTAATTATTTTTTTTACGAAAACGCTCACTCGGCAAGAGATTCTAAATTTCATATTGCAGAGATTCTAATCAGAAAAAATATCTATTATATATAATAGAAAGTTTGTTAAGTTAATATTTATAGAGATTCTAATCGGAAAAAACATCTATTCCATATTTATAGAGATTCTAATCGGAAAAAACATCTATTCCATATTACAATATGTAATTAATGAAAGTTTGTTAAGTTACTAATTTTAGACAATAATTAATGAATTTGGCGGGAAAAGATTACTAAAAGTGAATTAAGTTAATCCTTATTATATATTAATAGATTACCGCAAAAATCATCCATAGATCCCTCCAACCTACGTGTCGCAATCCAATTGGTCCCCCAAGCCCCGGCCCACAAACGCCAGCGCCGCACCGAATCATATCCCCACCTCCACCACGCTCAACCCAACAAATCCCTTTATTATTATTATTATTAACCCTCTTTGGAGTCCAGCTTCACTCCCCCACACGACTCTCTCTCCCCCATTTTTCTCTATCGTTCTCTCTCTATGGATTCACTCACCCTCCTCTGCACCGCCGGCCTCCTAATCGCCGGCGGACTTTACTGGTTCGTCTGCGTCCTCGGATCTGCCGAGCAGAAGGGCAAGCGCGCCGTCCACCTATCCGGCGGCTCGATCTCCCGCGAGAAGGTCGAGGACACCTACCGCCAGTACTGGTCATTCTTCCGCCGCCCAAAGGAGATCGAGACCGCCGAAAAGGTCCCCGCCTTCGTCGACTCCTTTTACAACCTCGTCACCGACATCTACGAGTGGGGATGGGGACAGTCCTTCCATTTCTCCCCCTCCCTCCCCGGAAAATCCCACCGCGACGCCACGCGCCTCCACGAGGAGATGGCCGTCGACCTCCTCTCCGTCGGGCCGGGGGCACGCATCCTCGACGCGGGCTGCGGGGTCGGCGGCCCGATGCGGGCCATCGCGGCCCACTCCGGCGCGAAGGTCGTCGGGATCACCATCAACGAGTACCAGGTGAATCGGGCTCGGGCCCACAATAAAAAGGCCGGGCTGGACGCGCTCTGCGAGGTCGTGTGCGGCAACTTCCTCCAGATGCCTTTCGAGGATGCAAGCTTCGACGGGGCCTACTCGATCGAGGCCACGTGCCACGCGCCTAAATTGGAGGAGGTTTACAGCGAGATCTACCGGGTCCTAAAACCCGGATCCATGTACGTTTCGTACGAGTGGGTCACGACGGATCTGTACCGGGCGGACGACCCGGAGCACGTGGAGGTTATACAGGGGATCGAGCGTGGGGACGCACTGCCGGGGCTCCGGAGCTACAGGGACATATCCGAGGTGGCGAAGCGGGTCGGGTTCGAGGTGGTGAAAGAGCAGGATCTGGCGAAGCCGCCGGCCGGGCCGTGGTGGACCCGGCTGAAGATGGGTCGGATCGCGTACTGGAGGAACCATTTGGTGGTAACGGTGCTGTCGTGGCTGGGGATTGCGCCGAAAGGAGTGGTTGACGTGCACGAGATGCTGTTTGTGACGGCGGACTACTTGACCCGGGGAGGCGAAACGGGTATATTCACACCGATGCATATGATTATCTGCAGGAAGCCCGAGAGTAAGTCGGATTAGGATGTTGTGTTTTTGCCATTTTGGTAATGTTGGATCGATTGTGGGCCGTTGGATCTTCTCTTTTTATTTTTTTAGTTGTTTATCTCGTATGCTTTTGGTTAATTAATTTTGCTTGCTTATTATTGGATTTTTAAATTAAGAGTTTAATTTTGGAGAAAATTACCTGGTTTTCATTTTGTTGGATGTTGGTGGTCTATTATTGATCTAATGATATTTTCCTCCAAAAGTTTTTAATAGGAAAATATTTGTCTATGTTCCATTTCTTCTTGAGCTTTTTTAGCTGGCTTATTTAAGTCAGTTTTAGTATGCATTAGCATTTTAGTTCAAAAACTATAATGTGTTACCAACAAGGTTTGACTCATGTGGTAAGCATCTTGATGTCGCTTAAACAAAGTCTCGAGTTCGAATCTTTGTGAATGTAGAAAACCCTTGTTGGGAGACTCATCTACCATTGCCAGGTGTGCGCTCGGGTCGACCAACGGATTATTCGGGACAAGGATACCATGGCCGGCTAAATGAAAAACTATGATGTGTTAATCCATCTAATTTGTCCCGTAAGAACGTCAATTAGGGCTAATTCTTAGTTGCAATGCATAGCAATTGTACCCTTTGTTTTAGCTAATTAGAATCTTTATTAATGATGGAATGAATATCTGAAAAAATTGATGGAAAAAAAAAAAAAGATTTAGATTTGTGAGGACATGGACACGTGATATGGTGAGCTGTAGTGAGAGATTGAGTGATGATAATTGACAAGTCATGTGATAGAGAGGGTCCCCCACACGTGACGGGTCCTTTTTGTCCTCGGCTTGTAAGACCACCAGACTACAGACAAGACACAGTGCCAAACTTATTTCTTTCTGCCTTTGATATTTAATTTAATGCTTTAAAATTAATTGAAATAATGGATACAACTTGAAATTAATGTGAAATTTCAGTACAGGAGAAGTTTGTTGTATTGTTCTGTACTACTACTAATCTTAAATGCACGTGATATGCACTTCTTTGACAAAATATGATGTTAGTTGTGCATGTTCTTGCTATATTTTATGTTTGTGGGTGGTATGTGAATATATATATATATGCTATGGTTGCTAATCAAATAGGCTAAATTTTATAGCTTATTTGTTTAGTTTATAAAAACTCGAGCTTATCGTGTAAGTTTCTTGGGTAGCTTTTAAATTAAGTTTTTTTATCAGCTAATTTTACTAAATTAGCTACGCATATTATGTAAGTTAGTTTTTCAGCTATAAGTCATAAGATATAAACTTGAAAATTACTCATAAGCTATAAGTTAATTGATCAGGTAGTTTTACTACTTATAACCTTTACATTTAAGACATATAGGCTTTTGTAATAATTGGGATCTCTGCAAGTTTGGCTGCAAACAAGTCAAATTGAGTCGAGCATCAATTTCCATCTTTCTAATAGTTCTATTCGGAAATATCTCATATTTCGTTTCATTTTCAAATCAATTGCAAAATCCATGAACGAACCTACAAAAATGGGTTCGTGCTCGACCTGTTTTTGCTCGCTAGATGAAGGGGCCTTTGAGCTTGATTTGTTTGGACTCCCAACTTAACTTATTGAGCGGTAGAAACTACCAAAAAATAAGAAGTGCCCGAACTCGACTTGTTTTTGTTGTTTGATATAGAGCAATAGTTTAATGGTCTTGAGCCTCGATGTTTTGGGGAATTTGGAGTCAGAGTTGTTTGCAGCCCTAGTCGACTAGTTGTTTCATCATACATAGTTCTTTACAACTAACTGATTTGTGGTCATTTGGCTTGTTTAAGTTGATTGTTTTGCCAGTTGTTGTGTGTGTTTTTTGACACAAGATCCAGCAACATGTGCTGTAGACTTTTCTGGGTTATTATTATTACTGTAAAGATGCATCAGATCAGATCCATCTGACTCTTGTATATGTTTTTCTGTCCTTATTATTACTTTATTATTATTATTTTTTTTATTATTTTTTGGCTGTTTTGTAAATTTGTAATTATTGATGATAAATACGGCGAATTTCACTGGGCAGTTTGCGGATTAATACATATCTCTTCGGATTAATTGGGCTGCAATAATTTATAGTTAGTGTTGATAAATACGTATCTCTTCATTTTCTCTCTAAGGCTCTTTGACCTAAGATAAGATGAAAGAGTACTTATCGGTTATCACTCTTTATCTAATCGCATTATTAAGGTTTTGGATTCTTATCAATTATCCAGAGATAAAAAAATAGGGATTTTTATAATATAATATAATTCAAATATGCGGATATTTTGCTCCTTGAGGTTGCAAATAATAATAATTAATATTTTTCAAATTTTTAAGATGGAGAATTTTTACTTACATAAACTACTACTTATCTTAATATGTACAATTTCATTAATATTATATATTTTCTAAACAAAATATTATTCAACCATTCATGCATCTCATGGTTATCATATTTTAATTATCATAATTTTGTTATATCATATTCATTGAGGAAAATTAATTAATGGACTCCTCTTTGGCCCTTATGGGCATGTGCACTCGGGTCTTCTTTGTCAACAATTTGTCTTCATATGCTTTAATGCTTTTTGAATTAAAATATCAGCCACCAAAGGCAAAATTGCAATTCTAGTCCTGTTAGTTTGATCCAATAGCATTTTTAGTCATAACAATTGAATATTTTTGTTATTTGGTCCTATAATTTTAAAATTCAATGCAATTCTAGTCCTTTGGGACTGAAAATGCAACAAAATTTAAAATTACAAGACTTAAATTGTTAATAAAAAATCTTTTGGATGGATTTTTTATTAGCAATTTAAGTCATGTAATTTTAAATTTGTTGCAATTTCAGTCCCGATGGACTGAAATTACAGCAAAATACTAAATTACATGATCAAAAGAGAAATTGTTGAAATCTTGGGACTAAAAATGCTACAGTGTTAAACCAGTAGGACTAAAAATGCAATTTTGCCGCCACCAAAAGTGGCTTTCACTTAATTTTTATTTAAGCTTTTTTTTCTATCATTTTCTGGTTATTAGAGAAAAAAAATTTTGCAACTTTTGTTTCGAAAACTCTTATAATTTTTTCGTAATCGTTTGCAACTTAACTCGGGATGCTGCTAAACTTAACTGCTTTAAAAATCCGTTTTCTCAAAACTCGGTTTAATGACTGGTTTAAACATAAGAAAAATAGATTTATTATATTTAATCGAACAAGCATGTAAGTTAGACCCGTTCATACTGGCGATCCGGGTAAACTATTGAAGTCTAAAAATAAAGACATGCATGTCCGAAACTGAAAAACGTAGCGGAAGTCTTAAAAACGTGACATAGTTATACAAGCAATTTATTTAAAAGTCCACAAATAGACAAGCTCGACCAAATCCACGACCAACCCCACCACATCGGAGATCCTTAAGTTATTCTATTTACGAAAATATTTTTATTGACCATAATAGAAGAATATAGAAATTAAATTCAATTATTTAGATATCCGACATTAGTAATATTATCAACAAAATTATACGAGTCTAGCCGAAAATGTTCTGTGGCCGAACTGGACTGTATTAGTATTTTTCAGCGCAGTATAGTGCATATCAAGTATTTAAAAAAATAAATAAAATGGTACATTCATTTCATTTCATATTTTTTTCCTATAATCTCCACTAACATAATTATTATTTTTTTCAGTAACAATATTATTTATCAACAATATCGATCAATATGTTATTATTTTAATTTCGCATCAATTTTTTAATCGTTATATATTTATCTTATATTTATTCATATCTCAATATTTTTCTCAATTTTTCTTATGGAGTCATCTATCGCTTAATATATTGACACATGTCCAAATTATATTTATTGTAGAACACATATCAATACACTATTGGTGAATAAGTGTAGATTGCTCCATAAGTCGAACCATTCGATGACTCCATAGCAAAACTGATCCAATCATAGTACCAAAACATTGAGACAAATCCCATTTTCTGTCCTGTAAACAAAACGACGGATAAAGTTCATGAAGTAACCTGCGTGATCACTTATGGGCCGTCGGACGATACCAATTTGGGCTAGTCTCAACATTATAAACAGTAAGAAAGATAACATTGAGCTAGCCCCAAATCGTAGCAACAAAGTTCCCATGTGCCCAATCCATAAAACCGTACTAGTCTCGACTCTCGTGTCATTTGCTAATGACACGGTAGAGAAAATTATTAGTATCCAAGATAGATGTTAAACGGGCTAGCCGCAGCAGTCTCGAATTTAAACGAACTACTAATAAAATGATCTAACCCTAACTTTAACTCTAGCGGGCTCGAGCTAAACGAGCTATGCGGGCTTTAATAATAATAATAATATCAAAAAATATCAAAAATAAAAATAAAAAATTATAAAAATTACAACGACTGATTAGAGATTGTTTTCAACTATTATTTAGTATTTACCGCTCTATATGTACAACTACACATCATATATATGAATACACACTACAAACTCTTAAATAATATTTTTTTTTTCAAAAGACAAAAATATTTGGATTATTACATCCAATTACCATTTTACTACTTATTTTGTACGCTTTGAAAATTTTTACGATATTATATCATTATAAATTATATCACTGTGTTTCATGTGTTAGGTCTATGTTTCATGTGTTAGGTCTTTGTCTCATGTGTTTCCTATTATTAGTCGTTCTGATTGACTTAAATATTTTGGTGTGGAGTACAATAAGAATATTATTAATAATTATCTTTCAAAATCATTATAATCTGTTACAACTCATACTTACATATGAAGTAGCAAAATCTTAATATACATTGAATCTAAGAGCATATTACTTACTTGCTGCAAACATTTACAACGCCCAACTCAAGTTAAATGGGCCAGCCCTAGCGGGTTTCGGGCTAGCCCTAACAGGCTTCGATTTAAACGGTTCGGGCCTAGAAAGCCCTGATTTAAACGGGCTACAAATAAAAAGTCCTAACCCTGTTTTTTTTCGGGCGGGCTGGCCCGACGGGCCAAGAACCGTTTAACATCTCTAGTATCCAAACAGCCGACTCTGGACTAATCGTTAGTCCTTTTTTACTTTTTCTTTTCAAAAATATATATAGTTTTTCATATTTTAAAAAATAATATAAATAAAATATATTATTAATATATTATAAATATACAATTTTATTTGATAAGTACGATTTATACTTTTTTTTGAACAGAATATATACATTTTTAGTCATATTTTAATAAATAATATAAATAAAAATACAATATTTTATTTTATAACAATAAAATTGTATTCGAAAAGTACGGTTATTGAACTCCTCTAAAAATCATGTGAACTAAAGTAAGAATCAGAAACATATACAGATACCAATTGTACCGTAAGGAATCAATGATCAATAAGTTGCAGAATATCCAAGAAAAGGGGACATGAAAATGACTTGTAATGCCAAAAATTAAAACTACCACAAATTAAAACCCTAGTTCAGGCATAGTTTGAACAACACGATACATGGATGTACATTAACTTCAATTTTGATGTCAAGTTTCTAAAATACGCTGTCCTTTGTCAGAATTAATTGTCATGCAATTGCAGTGGCAAATGTTAGGAACCAAAAAAAAAAAAAAAAAATGTGACATAGTGTGAATTATGATCCGAAATAAGGACGAACAATGGGACAACCTTTTTGTTTTTTTCCTTCAGAAAGAAAACGTGAGTAGTGTAACAACTTTTCATCCATTATTTCAAGAAGAGAAAAAGGCCAATAATATGGCCAACTGAGTTAGCTCGTTTGAAATCCGAAAAAGGCCGATAATTTTTCGAGCTAGGTTAGCTCGATTTTGGAATTCGGTTCAAGAGGTTGCACACTTTTTTTTTTTTTTTAACGAAACGATAGATTAATATTAAAACAAAAACACAAATTACAAACTAGATCAACCAAGACAACTGAAAACCAACTATTAAGCTGAATCTAGAGGAGGACAACCCCGACTGCTAATATCAGCTAATTATATAGCATACAGGCATCCTAAAGCCGAGACACCAACGAGACACCAAACTAACAAAAAAACAAACACAAGAGCTCCAACTTGTGGAGAATCAAACCCGTTGACTCCAACTTGTGGAGAATCGAACCCGTAGGCTCCAACGGGTGAAGAAAAGAGAAGAACAAACACCCACAAAACAACACACACTAACTACAAACAAACAAACGAGGCACCAATCAACAAACTAAAAAACACACATCTAGTAGAGTAAGCCCTCCCGTACTACAGGCAAGCACACCGCAGCTACCACACCATCCGGCACTCGATCTACAAAAATAAATCCAATCCAAAGTCAGAACAACCAAGAACAGCAAATCCAAGCCCCAGAGCCAAAAACTCCAACTCCTCGAGCGGCTAGTCGGATCTGGCGAGGAGTCAAATCTCAGCCTAGATCCGAGTTCCGGCAGCGAACAAAATGGACGGGAGGAACAACAAACAGGTGAATCGAACCACAACACCGACGAGCCCAGCCCATCACCAAATAGAGACCCCAAAAGGGCCGGAATTCAATCGCAGAGGGCTAGCCCGACCCCAAAACACTGCCCGAAAACAGTCCCGGCGGCAGGATGGAGACGGGAACACACGGTGGCCGAAGATGGAGGATGGAGACTGAGAACCGACACCACTCTGCACCCCACCGAAGGAGATCGCGAAACCTCCTCCACGCGGCACCAGGTGGCTAAAGTAGTTCTCCATCTTCGGCAATGGCCGGTCCGGAGAGAGTGTCTTGTGCGGTGGCGGCGAGTAGCAGAAGGGGGAAGGTTTATTCTTGAGATCTGGTTTTTTGTTTTTGGAGAGAGAGCTGTAAAGGAAGGTTTTTCATAAGAGGTTGCACACTCGTTGGACCCGTTTAAAGTTCCGTAGAATGTCGCTTGTTGAAGTGGTTATAAGGCTCGAGTTAGATCTGACCATGGTATGATGAAGCATAAAATAATGGTCGTGATGGTTGACTTGAGAGAGATGAAGAATCTCTAGCAGATCGGAAGGAGATTGTCCATTAAAGTGGTTAGACTTGAGTTCGCATTCTCAAACAATCTAGCAATGCCTAAGCTAGTATGATGAATCAAAAATGATGGTTGTGGTGGTCGATCTGAGAGAGATGATAAATCTTGAGTAAATGAGAATTCTATTTAATGGTCGATAGGAGGTCGACCATTGAAGTAATTAGAGTTAATATTCTTATATGATCTACCCAAGCCAAAGCTAGTATGATGAATCAGGAAACGAAGATCAATTATGTATCTTGAAGGAAATTTGTTGGATTTGTTAGGATCTTAGATGTCCCCTAAATGTTTGTATATACGTTAACTGACTTGAGCACCATATGAATCTTTCAAACTAGTATGATGAATCAGGAAACAATGGTTGTGGTGGTCGATCTAAGAGATGAGGAATCTTGAGCAAATGAAAATTCTATTTTAAAGGCCGGTAGAAGGCAACAATTGAAGTGATTAGACTCGTGTTAAGATCCTCATATCATCTAGCCAAGCCAAAGCTAGTATGTTGAATTAGGAAATGATGGTGGATTATGTATATATGTTGAAGGAATCTTGTTAGATTTGTCAGGATCTTAGGTATGCCTTGAAATTTTTGATATACGTGAACTGACTTGAGCATCACATGATTCTTTCTTTAAACTAGTTTGATGAATCATGAAATGATGGTTGTGGTGGTCGATGAGACAAAGATGAGGAATATTGAGCAAACGAGAATTCTATTTAAAGGTTTGTAGAAGGTCGACCATTGAAGTGATTAGACTCGAGTTAATATCCTAGTATGATCTAGCCAAGTCAAGCTAGTATGATGTATCAAGAGACGAACGTTGATTATGTATCTTGAAATAATCTTATTGGAATTGTTGGAGATCCAGAATGTGCCCTAAATTTTTTGGACATACGTTAACTGGCTTGAGCATCATATAATTCTTTCTTTAAACTAGCATGATGAATCAAGAAACGATGGTTGTGGTGGTCGATTTCAGAGAGATGAGGAATCTTGAGCATTAAAGTGATTAGACTCGAATTAAGATCCTCGTATGATCTAGCCAAGCCAAAGCTAGTATGATAATGTCAATTATGTATCTCAAAAGAAATCTTGTCGGATTTGTTGGGATCTTAGATGTGCCCTGAATTTTTGGATATTCGTTAACTGACGTAAGATTAATATACAACAAATATAATGTACAAGAACTTGAGAATTCTCGAAAAATCGGGCAAATGAAAAAACACCCTGCCAATCATATGCACAAGAAAACAGAACACTAATGGCAAAACAAAAATCTAAATTCACTAAAACGATTAGTAATAGTTTCCACCCAAAGAAAGAGAAAAAATGTGCACCGGTTAACACTTAACAAAAAACAAAGCTTCAAATAAAAAACGCCGCTTTGTCTTCTTCTGCACTCTCAGGTCTCCGGCCAAACAGACCCTTGACCACCACCAAAACGACGCCGCTCAGGCACCCTAAAACCCCGCCGCAGTCCCCCCTCAGCCACCACCAAGGCCGCCGCCCGTCACCCCCGCGTGCCTCCGCTATCGGCTGCAGGTACGCCCACGCCGCGTGCTGCAGCAGCGGGTCCCTGAACGGGATCTCCTTCCAGCTTCCTCCTCCCGACGGCGACGCCACAGACGCCGGGGACGTCGGCAGGAGGTCCCTCAGGCTCGTGTAGCCCTCGGCGCCGCCCTCGAGCGCGAGCATCTCGACGCCGTTGGAGAGCCGCGGCAATTGAAGGTCGATCAGGTGTTCCATGGCCGAACGAGAGCAGGAATTAGGGTTTACAGAGTCCCGATTGGGTCAATTTTCATGGCTAACAGAGTTCTACTCGCACAGTGAGAAAAGCAGCATCTGTGTGTGTTTTTGGGTGGAGTTTGTGCGTAAATCAGGGGATTTTATGCGAGTGATGGTCAGGGGGAAGGTGGGGTCCACGCGCAAGGGAGAGTTAGAGGGACTGTGACTCCGCGAGTGCACGTGTCGGTCGATAGGAGCGTGGGGTATGGTTATTTTTTTTTTTGTTTTCTGGCTTATCTGTTTTGGGACCCACCGGGTCAAAGTATATTGAGCTGAGGTGTGATGATTTTGGACTTTTCATTTTCCTATATAATCCATACTAATTGCAAGACATTTTTTTTTTTTTTTTATAATTT